CCTCAGGTGAATCGCAGCAGTAGCAGCCAGTCCCCAGGCTCTGGCCTTTAAGGAGGTTTTCAAATTCTCTTAGCCTTAGTTGCCTGAATCACACAGGACAAACAGTCTCCGCCCTCTCCCAGTGCTTTGTCTGAGGCACCTATTCAGTCACCTTACCGATGGGCAGACGGCAGTTAACCTGCAGCCCGAAAGCCCATCAAGGCAGGATTCAGGACCACAGCTCCCTGGCCCTTCCTCCCTACCCACCCCCCACCTTCAGCTGTGAGTTCTCCAGGCATGCTCGGCTGCCCTTCAGACCATGTTGGGCACCCAAGGGACGTGACAAGAGAGACCTTGTGAAAAGCTGGACTGATGACACAGCCCGACCAGACTAGCTAACTAGGAAAAGCTCCTCCCCACCTTCCTCATTCTTCTACCTCTGCAGTAAAGAAAACACTAGCAGACAGGCTTCCTTTCCTTGGTCGGCTTGCCATGTGGGAGTGGGGGAAATTAAAAGTAAGTGATGCATTTCAGAAAGCACATCTCAAGCCTCCCTCCGGGCTCAGCTGGTACACCTTTTACCTCTGATCTATCCCCCACCCCTGGGCATGAAAACCATTCTTTGACCCCTGCATGCATCTGAAAGAGGGAACTTGATTGTTTCTACTCAAGAAGCACAATCTAAATCTAAAAATTGGGGGATGGGGGTGGGAGAGAAAACCTATCTATCCATCTCTTAATTATATTTGAATATAAAAAATATGACTCAACAAGGCCTGTTTGATAGGTCAGGAAGACACACATAACCTTGAGGCAGGGAAGCTTCTGGCTTTCAGCAGGCCTGCCACTCAACAGGAGTGATAAGTTTCCAGCCTCCAATTCAACCCAACTTGCATCTTTCATCTCCATGAAAAACTTCCAAGAACCTTGAAACACACTTAAGGCAAAACACAAACCACAGGACATTTTGCCTCCCAACACCTGTCCAGTCCTTCCAAATATATTCTAAACCTAGAATAATTATTTTTAAAAGGGTTATCTATAAGCTGGCCTGAATAAACAGAGCCAGGGACATTAGGTAGCACGGACCAGAAACAGCCTCATCCACATCTAATCTAGGAGGAAAGAAAGCAATTGTCCTCTCCTCAGGGGAGATATATCAGTTACTGTTGATACTGCACTTCTGTCTTTAGAATGCAAATACGTCTAATAAAATACAAAGGGTAAAACATCACTTTGTGGAATATGTAAAATTTCCAAAACAAACATAAAAACCTGTTATTAATGCAAAAAGCAGGTGAAGTTATACACATGACAAGTTCAACCTCTTAACAGACGAGAAAGTCATCCCAGACAAGCCTGCAAGCTGCCATTTGACACCACAGCACGGAGTCAAGAGAATACTGAGCTTCAATTAAAGACACTTACAAAAGATTATTTGAATATAATAACACAAACAAAAACCAACTTTTAACATCCTACCTTTCTAGGTCAAAGAACATGGAGGATTCAGAAATTAATTAAACCTAGTAAATAATGTAAAACAGGGAAGGACTCCCTTTCAAAAAAGGCTTCGGTTAATTTTAGCATCCTTCTGTTTAGCTGCTTAGCAACCCTTATCCTATGACCTTCTAAGCACCACCTACTTTTCAGAAGGATAAGGAATAGAAACATCAAAAGGACCCACTTCTAACTGCTTCTAGAGAGCCTGTTTAGCCAATTTTTGTAAAAGTTTATATTAACTATGCCATGCAAAACCCTAAGAGGATAGAATTTTTCAACTTCATTAACCAGGAAATTTACTTAGCTGAAGCTGTTAAGTGATGTTAGCAAGTGAGCACACAATAGCAAGAAAGACTTCTACACTGACCTAGGAAGTAAACCAACACAGCAGTTCAAAACAGAAAAAGTAGAAAAAAACAGAAGTTTGCTAACAGCTGCTAGCTAGTGCCTGACTTGTGGCAGAAAACCAATGTTTATTGTTGATCGGATGAGGACAAATAAACTTAGGCATCATTTTCCTCCTTCCTACCTGTGCTGGATGCAAATGAGCTCTCTCAGATGGTTCTGCCTGAATAAAGGCCCCTTCCATCAAAAGGTCACTTGTTGGAATGATGTAAATGGTCAGGAATGGATGTACCACCTGTACCAGCTTAGTCAGACAAATGCGTCCATGGTAAGGGTTATACCGTCTGAGTTTCTGCTGAGAAATAAATCGGTATCCAGGGAAACACCGAGGATAATATTCCACGTACCAATGAGCATCAGCAGCATTTCTTAGTGAGTAAAGCATTTCTTAAAAACAAAACAGGCTGGAAAGACAACTAGCTTACCTTAAAAACACTTTGTGCAACCGAGACAGAGCAAGTTAATTAACCCAAAATGGAGAAAGGAAAACAATTAAATCAAAGTACTCCTCTCTCCTTTCTTTTGTAAAAACTGGGGAAGGTATTTTTTTCACACATTTAAAACATGATTAGGGCCATTCAAATGTTCATCAGTGTAACCAAATACATCAAAGCAAGACCCATCAGGAGATAGCCCAATTCGCAGAGGTAAAAACAAAACAAAACAGGACAAACACACACACACACATACACACACACACACACACACACAAAACTCCAAACCTTTAAAAAGAGCCCACCCTTGTACATAATGTTTGAAGAGAACAGTGAACTCTTTCCGGAAAAAAAAAAAAAAAAAACAACAACTCTGGATTCTAAGGGCGCACAGAATTTTCTTAAGAGTTTTAATCAAGACTTTAGCCTCCAACTCAGACTTGCGGGTTAAATTATCTCAGAAACTATACCTGCCTACTCAAGAAAGCATCAAACCTAGAGGATGTGAAAAGACATCAACACATTCTTTTCTTGGCTGTTCTCATTTCTCCGCCTTCCACTCCAATTAACTATTGCACAATGCACTTCGCACTCAGACACAGACCACCGTATTTATCTGAAAAGCTAATCTCACAACCAGGGGATGCACAAGCAGCAAGTCAGCCTTTGCACAAGTCATGTGCAGAAACGCTTTGCCAACTTCCAACATCTTTATCCAACAGGCGAGCCTTCTTCCCCACAGGCTTTCACAAGGATCTGCTTAGCTCTAAAACTCTAAAACAAGACCGAGGGTTCCCCAGGGTTGAGTAATCTAATGATGAAAACCTGAGGGCAAGGTTTTCAACACCCCCCAAAAGTTGCTTTTCATCCACCCCTGGTATCGGTCTCCAACACCACTACTACCAGTGCCCCCCAAAGAAGAAAATCCCCTCCGAAGTGCCCCGAATGTGTGCTGCTGCTGGCTCTGAAGCCGTGTAGAATTTCGTAATGGAATGTGAACTGCTCGTCCGGATCTGGGCTCACGTTCTATCTCTTAACCAGTAAGGAGCGAGGGAGGGCAAATCTGCTGAGCAAGGAAAAATAACTTTCCTCCTCTTTTATAACCCATCACGGATGCACCGCGAACGAGGGACCCTGGCAGCACGCGGCGCCTGTCAAGCGGCCGAGCCCGAGCCCAGTGGGGTCCCCACGCCCCGAGACCTCGGCCCGCTGCCCACGGGCACCGTCGCCGCGCCCCGCACTCACCCAAGGCCGGAGAGAGGGTCACATCCTCGACGAGACCCTGGCCCTGTACAGAAAACACACCGCCTCCCAGGGAGGGGGCTGGCGACGGGAAGGACCTCCCCTGCTCCTTAGCAACCATTAAGGTCGCAGTTTCCTAAGAGACCGTGAACGGGGAGGGGGCGCGGGGAGCTGGGCCTGATGGGGGGGGGGGGCTCGTGCTTCCCGTCCTCGTCGGTCCCCCCCCTTAACGCCACCGCGCGCCCCCAGGGTCCCCCACCCTCCTCGCTCGGCGGTGCGGGCCGGGGTGTGAGGAGAACGGCAAGTCCCAGAACTCCAGAAAAATTGGTCCAGCGGGTGGCGGACAAAAGTTTCCGAGCGCGCTCCACAGCTGGGCGGTGGGGCGGGCGCGGGCCCCGCCTCGGATGCTCCCGGCCTCCTTCCTGTGCTCGTGACGGCGCCGGGCGCGAGCCCCCCCCCCTCCGCGATGCAGGCTCGCCCCACGCCGGGGGCTCCCCCAAAACTCGTACCCGGTCAGCCTCAGGAGTCACCAACAATACGCGTCGGCGCGGCCCGGGGCGCCGCTTCCCCTCCTCCCCAGCGACGGTGGTCGCCCACGGCCCCGCCGCCAGCCGGGAGCCCGCAGAGGGCGCGGGGCTGCGTGCCGCCCCTCCCGGCCGGCGCCGTCCGCCCGGGAGGATCAAAGTCCGCAGAGCTGGGCGCGGCGGATGCTTCCACCGAGCAACCCCAAACGCACGGCCCCCGCGCCTGCACCCCGGGTGGGCACCCCCCGGATACCTTGCGGCGGCGGGCGGGCTCCGTCATCTCCCGTGCTTCCCGACCCGAGAGGGACTAGAAAGTATGTAGGAGAAAAGTTTCCCCTCCCACATGGGGGGGGGGGGAGGAGGAGGAGGAGGAGGATGTCGGGGGAGAGAGGGCGGAAGATGGAGAGCAGTGCTGGGAAGATGTTTCTGGCCGCGGTGCGCGCACCATCCGAGTCCCGGCGGTGCTGGTTAAAAATAAACTCGGCGGCGCGGGTCGGGCCGGATTCCTGCGCTCGGACGGCTAATATGGATGCGCATCAGGTCCTGCTGGCGGGGCGCTGCGGCTGCTCGCGCTGGGAGCTGGTTGGCAGAGCCGGCGGCTCGGGAAGGGGAAAAGGAGCGGAGGAAGGGGAGGAGGAGAAGGAGGAGCGGCCGGGCGCTCAGCCCGAGGGGAGAGGGCTGCCTGGCTCATCCCGGCCGCCCCTACCCTACAGCCCCGACCGAGGCGCACGCCGCGAGGCGTGGGGCGCGCGGGTCCTTCCTGCCAAACGCCGAGTTTCAGAAGTACACCGCGCTCTGCACACTTCACCCTCCCCATCCCCAAAAAAGTTCTTTAAAAGGTCGCTCCGGCGGTGCCCCGGACATCTCGCAGTCACCCGAGGGCTGCAAGCGGGGACCCGGGACGCGTACTTACGGCCCCGCAGGGTGCTGGGCTCCCAGACATGATGCGGTGGGGACCGGTGGGCTTCGGGGAGAGAACGAGGAGAGATGCAAACTTGTTCCGGAAAAGGAATCAAAATGGCGTTTCTGGATGTGCAAAGTTCATCAACTCCGCAGTCACTTCCCCTCCTCCTCTTCTCCCACGGGGAGGGCGGTGGGCGAGGAGCTGGCGACCCCTTTGCCCCAGCCGTCTTCCCGGCCCCCGCCTCGACCCCCTGCCCCGCTTCCTCGCCCGCACGCTCGGAGGCTCGCTCTCCCCCTCTCACCCTGATAAGTAGACACATCACGTGTTGCTCCTGCGAGTCTCCTGGGGACGTGTTACAGGGCTGCTGCAGCGGCCGCGGCGGCTCGAGCGGGGGGAGTCGGGAGGACCGCGGTACCCGGCTGTCCCTGTCGTCACCCCCGCCCCAATTTTAGCGAGGCAGCGGCGTTGGCCACCATCCCGGGATGGATGGAAGCGGAATCCCCACCTCACCCCCTACCGAAGCCCCAAATTTGCCCCAAGCCCTCCCTAGGGGCCAGGGGCGGGCCCGGCCGCCCGAGGGGAAGGGTCTCAGCGGCCGCAGCTGAGCGCAATTCCGACCCACCCAACGCTCACTGATGGCCACTATCTCCGGCCACCGCGCCCCCTCCCCTCAGCCCCTCACTGCCAGTGGCTCTCAGCCCGCGGCTTCCCATCACTTTACTACACGGTTTGTTTCACTATTTTAACGGAGGCAGAGATGCCGGGAGGAGCTTGGCGGGGGGGCGGACGCCCGGGGCGCCCGAGAGGGTAGTGTGGTGACGGTGGACCCCAGATCCAGCGCCGCTCCCCTGAATCTGAAAGAGGAGCCCCACCCGCACAGTTCCTTCTCTACGCGGTCCTCGCCCTGCATCCAGGTGGGGCGAGTAGAGGATGGGGCCGGAGATTAAAGAGCAGGCGCTTCACCCCGCCCCCAACCTCTTGCTTTTTTTTTTTTTTTTTTTTTTTTCCTCCCAGGTTGGTCCATCCCACCCGCGCAGCGACTTCGGAGCGTGCTTCTCTTCTAACAAACGCAATGGCCGTAGACTTTTGTTAACTTTGCCTTCTCTCACAGCCAACAAGTGATGCTTCAGCCGAGGCTGTCTGCCCGCGAGGGGCCTAAGGATGGCGTCTACCGCCACCTTGTCCCCACCCCGCGACGGAATGGCTGGTGCTGTGTCATCCATGGCTCCCTTCAAGGCGTCAGGGAAGCCACATGCAATATCTCTTTCTCTCAGAGGGCTCCTGTTTCAACTCTGAAAAGCACGGTTCCTCCTGAGAGGCTCTCTCCATCCCCAGGGCTCCTGAAGCCACCACACTGCCTTGGCCCAAGTTATCACAGAGCCCAGAGAAACCAGGCCTCAGCTGTGCTTCCTCCATAAAGCAGCTGACATGTTTCCAACAAGTAAGCCAGTTTCTACGTAGGTTCCAAAAGGGACTTGTTCTCTGCCTTTGGACACCTCTTCAGAAAGACACACACATACCACCTTCACCACCACAATTCTGAAGATAAAAGCACGGAAAATAGGACTATAGTATTTTGCATTTGGGACTACTTAGTTGATGTACATGCAGAAAATTTGCTACAGGCTGTTTACTATGACCTTTGCCCTGGCTCCACCCCACGGGCTCCTCGTGGAATGCTGAACACCCTACAGTTGTGAAGACCTTTATGGGCTTTAATTCGAAGCCTTCCTTCTAATGTACTCAGGTTGGGGGGGGGGGGAGACAGAGGTGTCTGTCTGGAGGTAGAATGAACAAATGAAGCCTGGCCAAGATAGAATTCTCTAGAACTGAATAAAAACAGTTGGACCATTACCCCTAACTTGAGATAAGTAGGCTAAACCACAGACTGGGAGGGAACTGATTCAGCTGGCTGTTTCTTTGACTTCCAGTCATCAAAAATAAGTTTTCAGAACCTGTTACATTTCCCAGGGTCTACTGTTTACTGAGCAAAACTCTATCTGGTGAAATTTTAGCAGTAGCATTTTTTTTTCTTTTTCTTTTTCTTTTTTTTGACAAGGTCTCCAGGCTACCCTTGAACTTGCTAGCTGAGGATGACCTTGAACTTATAACCTTAGGGCCATCATGCCCCATTTATGAAGTGCTAGCATGTGCTTCATGCTAGGCAAGTATGTTATCAGCCTGAGCAATACCACCTTTCTCTTTTTTCTTTCTTCTTTCTAGACAGGGTCTCACTCTGTAGCTCTGGCTGTCCTGGAACTCCATATGTAGACCAGGCTGGCTTAGAACTCACAGAGATACAGCTGCTCCTGCCTCCCAAGGGATGGGATTAAAGGTGTACACCACCACACCCTGCCAACTCCACTCTTCTAAGCCTCCTGCCTACTCCATCCTGTCTCCCAAGTGTTAATATGAAAAGTTGTTGAGGACTAGTCTGCTGAGGAAGTGGGTTGGTTTTTAAACAGAATAGGTTGCATGATCATCACAGAAATTAGTTTTGAGCTTTCAATTTATAACCTGTTCCATGGGTGGTCAAGGATGGGCACTCCAACAATGCTATCTTATTTGTCTCTTGGGAGACAAAGGGTTTTGGTTTGTTTGCTTGTTTGTTTTAATGTATTTTGTTTGTCACTGGCTTTTGTATGCCAGGCTAGGCACATACTTATCATCCTTCTGCCTTTACCTCCCAACTGCTTAGATTATTGGCTTGCATTATCATGTTGGACCATGAACAGTACCAATATCAAAGTTGGAGTTTTAATTTGCAATTTAACTTATTCTGTAAATACTTTAAAATGTCCAAAGTTCCATGGGTTCTCATGACAAATCACTACCATTTTCATACTATGAAAATGGCAATTAAAAAGTCACCTTTAGAGCCAGGCATGGTGGTGCATACCTGTAACCCTAGCACTCTGGGAGGCAAAGGTAAACAGATTGCTGTGAGTTTGAATTCAAGGCCAGCCTGATCTACAAAGCCAGTCCAGGACAGCCACAGGGAAACCCTGTCTTGAAAAACCTAACAAACAAACAAAAAAAAAGAAAAGAAAAAGTCACCTTTAAACTTTTTTATTCTAGCTGGGTGCTCTGGTACATACCTGTAATCCCAGAACTCTGGGAGGTAGAGGCAGGGGTATCTCTGTGAGCTCAAAGCCATCTCGGGCTGCAAAGCAAGTACAGGATAGCCTAAGCTACAAAGAGAAACCCTGTTGGGGTTGGGGGAGGACTTTTTTATTCTTATGGGGCATGGTGGCTCAAGCCTCTAATCCCAGCACTCCAGAGGATTGCCGTGAGTTCCAGGCCAGTCTGGGCTATAGTGTAAGACCCTATCTCAAACCAAAATAAAAGTACAAAATAAAGCACTAAAATGAATTAAATTTAGCCAGGCAGGGTGGAGCATGCCTTTAATCCCAGCACTCTGAGAGGCAGAGGCAGGCCCATCGCTGAGTTTGAGGCCAGCCTAGACTACAAAGTCCAGGATAGCCAAGGCTACACAGAGAAGCCCTACACTGAAGAAAGAGAAAGAAAAGGAAGGAAGGAAGGAAGGTTCCACCAAATTTGTACACAGATGTCCAGTACAGCTGTAGTCATAAGAGCTTAAAAAGTAAACTAAAATTTGAAGGTGGTTGAGATAGACCACCAGGTAAAGTAATTTACTGCCCAGCCTGTGATTTGAGTTCAATCCACAGTGAAAGGAGAACGCCTACTCAGCAAAATTATCCTCTGGCCTCCAACCTTGCACCAAAGCCATGCATCCACATGCCTGCACATATGTGAACACACACATACACACACACACACACACACACACACACACACACACAAAACAAATGGAAGTTAGCCAGTCATCGTGGTGCACACTTTTAACCCCAGGGCTCAAAAGACAGAGACAAGAATATTACTGCAAGTTCAAAGCCAGCCAGAGCTATTTATATAGGCCCTGTCTCAGAACAACAAAAATAAGAGAACTGAGAGATGGCTTAGTGTTTAAGAGCACTTGCCACTCTTCCAGAGGACCAGGTTTCAGTTCTCAGTGCCAGCATCAGGCAGCTCACAGCTGTTTGTAACTCTAGCTCCAGGGGATCTGATGCCCTCTTCTGGGTTCTGAGGGTACCAGCATACTCAATAGACACCTACACACACACATGCACATCAAAAGCCAAAAGGGCAATCAATTGAGCAAACGTATAAACCAACACACATAAAAGCAGTATTGTACCAAATTATGGGCCTTGTCCTGAAACCAGTAAAGGCTCTCGGGTAAATGGATTAAAATACGGACAGGAATTAATGGGTGAGAGAGCACAGTTACATAAGCAAGATTAAACGCATATAATTTTTCAGTATTATCAATGAAAAACCTTGGGTACTCAAGGTGTGGAGCAGAGAGAATTTCCCAGATGGGGGGGGGGGGGGCTTCCAGAAAAACATCTGACAGAGGTGAGAAGGTGGGGTTAAGGAAATCAGTACCAAGCTTGTGTCCGAGGTAAATAAGAGAATAACAGAAATGGGGGTGGGGGAGTCTGGAGGGGGAAGCCTGTTTGCGGTAGAAGGTGCCACAGTGACTGGAGGTACAAATAAAAGGAAACCATGGCTATGCCTCCCAAGTGGATAATGAAGATGAAGAGGTGGGCACTGGAGAAGACTGCCTGGATGAGGTGGCACGCTCTGCTGACTCTTAAGAGACATGTAGGTGTCTCCCAGGCAGGGAGGAGGAGTCAGGGCACACCAGACAGAGAAGTCTGGGAGCAGCCAGCACAAGGGCACAAAGGCACAGTACAAGGTCAGACTCCTGAACTGCAAATACCTCCCTCAGTGACAGCAGCCTGGGAGGGAGGAGGGGGAGGCAGCAGGGATGGGGCTGGAACAGCAGCCAGGGGGCCCTGCAAACCACTAAGCAAACTTGGGCCTCATCCAAGAAAGAACACACAGAGGACGACAGCCAGCCCCCCTCATGTGTTGTGGAGAATGGTCTGAAAGATGACAAGATGAGACAGGAAGACTCATTAGAGTTAGTAGAAGAGCTCACCTCGGAAGGAGTAAAAACTCAGTCAGGCGCTGTTTCTGAGGTGAAGGGGGGGAAAACTGATTCAAGACATTAGGCCGCAAGCGCAAGCGGGGCGTGGTGGCACATGCCTGGAATCCTAGCACTTGGGAGGTTACAGCAAGGGGATTGTAAGTTCAAGGGGAGGAATATGGTGAGACCCTGTCTCCAGAAAGAAGAAAAAATAGGCCATAGAAAGAAGAGAAACTGACCAGTTGAATACAAGAG